AATTAAAAGAATATATTCAACTGGCAAAATAGCTTATCCGCTGGCTGGTATAAAGGAATAATAGTCATTTCAAAATGTTACTGGCATATTAGGAGAGCAGCTAACCTAACAAAAAATTATGTAACCAACTATCATTCAAGTAGATTGTATATATAGTATACTATAATTATTTATGTTATACAGGGTGAGTCAGTCTCAATCTGTCAAACTTTAGAAATCCTATTTTGCCTTCTAAGTGTGATACAAGGCGTTAAAGTTTCGAAGAAAAAAAGCCGAGAACAGAGAAAGATATCGTCGCAGTCTAGTCAAACTGCTATAGGGAGACTCTCAAATTTTACAGGAGATACGAAAAACCAGAACTCACTTGTATACATGGTAAAATTTAAAGTCGTAAATAAATTCGATTCAGACCGATTTCACACATAGTTGTTTTTACTATAGCACGCAGAAAGACTAGAGATATTAGATGGCACCCATATCACAAAAATGGCAAAATCTCTACGTAGTAGATCTTAACTTGACAGCTACTATATGGAAATCAAACTTGCGGTGCTCTATTTTACTTCAATAGTACTTTTAACAATAATAAGTTTCATTCAATCCAGGGACCAGTGGCGTAATATTGGGATATATTTTAATCATTTTAGATAAAATTCAAGTTACGCCAATGGATTAATAAAAATATTAGATCATTTTTTAAATCTACATTCTATTTGGAACAAAAAAGGTTTCTGTGTAACAGTTGTAGCATGCTTTATAATTATTTTTAACACATGAAATAATAAAAACCAATAGCTTTCATTTATTTAAGTTTGGTACATGAGTGAAACAAAATGTGTTCAAAATTTACTATTCAAAGTATAAACCTTCAACTCCAGTTAGTGCATTTTTATACTTCTTTTAATTAAAGAATTTATCATCAGTCGAAGGATCCTTTTAGATCTGGAAATCATGGTGGCCACTGTATTTGACCCACACCCTGATTATTAGCATCATTGGATGGTCAATCCACTTTTGTGGATAGTTATTATCCAGACAATGTTTAATATTACTACAATTCTGTGCCCGATCGTCATCCATTTGTATCCAGCTATTTGCTTGCAAGAGAAACATAATCGATATAATCGTCCAAGTTTGTTTCAAGAAAATTAAGGAAAATGGTAAAAAGTTGCAGGTAAACAATGTGGATCGCAAACGTAATTAATCTGACTCCCATCCAGACATTTAAGCTAAATTCATTTTGAAAAGAATATGGTTGATTATTGTGGGGATTTCCATGACTAGCATTTAAAGAAACCAGTAAGTAATATTGCAACTTTAAATCTAAATTTCTTTTGAAATGTTTATGTTAATTTAGGTTAGGTTAGGTTAGGTTTGCTGTGAGTGGGTCTCAGTAGAGGTAAGTACAATATTCAAAATATCAAAATGTCTATGCTAGAGTTGCTCATTATTATCCCGCAAGAGTTCAATACTAAAATTTATAATCATCTTCCGAATAAATACAAGCTTCAATCAATTTAAAATCACAGTTAAAAACTTTTTTAATAGATCAGTCTCTTTACTGTTTAGGCGAATATTTTAATTATAGATAATTAACAAGAAATGTATCTTTTCTGTACTGTATCCATCGTTCTGTTATATTTGTTTGTTAAGGTTATATACTGTTTTATATTTTATTTTGAGGATATAATCTTGTGTATTGTAATTTATTAGATATATAGGTACATGACTGACGTTAATATTATATATTGTTTCTTTTTTTTATGTTTAATAGAATATTTATTTTATATTTGTAACTTTATCCGAATACTTGTAAAAGTCTTTATGGAAAATATATATATATATATATATATATATATATATATATATATATATATATATATATATTTTCGGTTGCCCGACGCTGGACAGTCCTCCCGTGGCCTCCGACGCCTCACGGGAGACGCGCCAGCACATTAACTTCAGTCACTCCCCACATCCCGCAGGGTTAGTGACTGTAGGTTCCGGAATCGTGTGCCCTAAGCAGACGGAGAGAACCAAGAATGACCGCCTTCTGCATCTGGCCTGCCAGCCACTCAGCTGATCTTTGGCAGGCCAGTATGGTCTTCAGTTCCGAGAGCAGCGTAGGTTTTATCCCTCCGAGTACACCGATTATAAGGACGACCATTTTTACCGAGTAGCCTGGGTACAGCACTTGGAGCTCGTACCGGAGATCACGGTATTTGGCCCGTTTCTCCTCCTCCTTCAAGGTGATGTTTTTCTCCGCAGGTGCCGAGAACTCGATGACATACATCACCTTGAGTTGATGGTCGAGGAGGACTATGTCAGGCTTGTTGGCTTGGATTAGCCTAACAGTCGGAAACGAGTAGTTCCAGTAAATTCGGCATTTTTCGTTCTCGACAACGGACTCAATATCTCCGGGGACGTAAGGCAGCACTGGTGTCTGGTCTACCCCGTATGAGTGCCTTAGATGGTAGTATAGCACTCGTAAAGCCGCGTTATGTCGGTGGATGTAGGCCGAAATCGCATATATGGGGCATGCAGAAAGTAGGTGCATGAACGATTCCGGCGCCTGATGGCAGGTCCTGCAGTTAATATCAGGAACCTCTACACGCCACACGCGGCTACGGTAGACCAAGGTGTTGATAACACCATCCTGGCAGGCCATAATGAATCCCTCGGTCTCTGACTTAAGCCCGGCCGACCTTAGAAAGGCGAAGGTCAGCCTGATCGATAAACCCAGTGTTTCCATGTTCTTATAGAAGACACCATGCTGGGGTATATCGACGTGCTGCCGAAACAGATTTTCCTGTTCGGCAGCTCTGATTCGGGCTTTCAGACGATTTGGCTGAAGTTCGGTGACTGACTCTACATCAGCACCTCGCCGGCCTCCTCGCCTGATGTCAAATGCGAGACCGAGTTCATCTGCGGCTCTTTTCGCTGCCTTGAACAATCCTGCTCCTACTCCTACAGTTTCGTGATGTTTCACAAACCGCAAGAGAGGATCTGAGCTCCTGAGGATAATACATGCCATACTCAGTACTACTCTGCCATGCGTACACTCCAGGCTCAAGAGTCCTCGGCCCCCCCGTTGACGTGGAAGGTACACACGAGGAACGGACGATCTAGGATGAATACTTCTGTGAATATTCATCATCTTGCGGGTATCTCTGTCTAATTGGCGCAGCTCATCTACCGTCCACTTTACTACTCCAAAGGAGTAGAGCAGAACCGGAACGGCGAGCATATTAGTTGCAGACACCTTGTTCTTCCCCGAAAGTTCGGAAGATCAAATCTTTCGGAGACGGTGTCTGTACTTGCCGCGGAGAGAATCATTTATTTGTGTTACATCCTGGATGTGCCTTTGTTGCACACCCAGGTATGTATAGGTCTCTCCGGCATCCAGATGTCTTAGGATGCTTCCGTCTGCGAGCTGCGCATCTTCAGAGAATTCCCCGCATCGTCCTCTCTTGAGGTGGACGACTGCACATTTATCCAACCCGAACTCCATACCAATTGCCCGCGTATATTCTTCGACCACCCTAAGAGCGTTTTGTAGTTCGCGCTCTCCGGAGGCATAAAGTTTAAGGTCATCCATATAAAATAGATGGGTGACCTTATGCCTCCGGTCGCTGGGTGGTCCACATTGACATCCGCAGGTTTGGCGGAGCCCAACAGACAACGGCAGCAGTGAGATGCAGAAGAGGAGAGGACTCAGGGAGTCACCCTGGAAAACTCCTGCTCTGTCATGACCCGCTGTGCACCTGATGTTATGGTGAAGCGGGTCTTCCAGAGCGGCAGCAGCAGTTTTATGCATCTCACTAGTGGTGCTGGTACCGCAAGACATTCGAGCAAGTACAACAATAGCTCATGTGATGTATCAAATGCCTTGCGGTAATCAACCCAGGCCATCGATAGATTCCGCTTGTATTGCACAGAATCCTGTGCAATACAGCGATCTATCAGCAGGCTGTCCTTGCAACCTGCCATGCCCTTCTTGGCACCACGCTGTTCGTGTATCTGCTGGAAGACCTCAGTGTCCTAGCATACAAGATACGTGTAAATATCTTGTAGCAGGAGTTGAGGCAAGTGATCGGCCTATAATTCCTCGGGTCGGAAAGATCCCCCTTTTTGGGGATAAGTACAGTACGTCCCTCGACAAACCAGTACGGAATCTGCTGCCCTCCGTTCAACTATGAGTTGAAAACTGGCTCCAGACGGCGGTGAGTGGAAGGAAATTTCTTCCACCACCAGTTGTTAATGCCGTCTGGGCCCGGGGTAGCGAAGTTCTTGGTACCAACAAGTGCTTGTTGGACTTCCTCCGTACTGATTGCCGGGCACACTTCTTCTGGCGCTTCAAGATGTCTGTGACACAGAGCCTCGAAGTGTGCAATTGATGGAGTGTCGCTATTGAATGGACGCGTCGTTTCGTAAATTTCCTTCCAGAAGGTTTCGACATCTTCTACAGTCGGCGGATTCTCGACAACACGGTGTGGCTCTTGAAAGAGGCGGGAAGGATTCGTACAGAACAAATTGTTTTGTTCCATACTCCTCACCCGCCTCTTCAATGTTTTCTTTATCGCCATGAGCGCTCGGATCCTATCTAGACAGTGCTGCTTGATGGTAAGCATCACTGTCAGATTTAGAGTATGGTGTTGACGTCTTAATCCGGCTGCTATGCGCCGGATTCTGGGAGTAAAAACTCTACCAGTTGTCTTATATTCCACCACACTCTGGATCCGAGAAGCGTGTTGTCTGGCCGACTGTACCTTGCTCTCGATTTTTTATACACGCCGCTTGGCTTTCTCGACCCCGTTATTATTATTATTAAACTTGCTTCATGCAAAACTGTCGAGAGAACCAGGCTTTTATTGGGTCAATTTTATCCATAGATGAGGCAGGCTTTAGGAGAGATGAAGTTATTAACTCACACAATTTACCTGTTCGGTTCGAGCCAATGTCCGAGTATGTTAGAATTAATTTCTGGTTTGGAAAAATCTTAGCTCCTCGACCGGGAATTGAACTCGGGGCTCCAGAGTGAGAGGCATGTGTCCTTACCACCCGACCACGAAGCCACATTTGTAATACCATCTCAATTGAATAAAGTAAAGTACCTGGAGTTTCTTCAAAAGCAGCTGCATGAATTTTTGGCGGATATTCTGTCCAAAACACATTTCGTTATCCTGGTCAGAGATCATCTAAATAATACTTATCCAAATTAGTGGATAGACCTATTTCTTGGCCATCTCGTTCACCTAACTTCAAATCTTTAGATTTTTTCTAATGTGGTCATTTAAAAAAGTTAGTCTATGCAGCGTTCATTGAGACCAGAGATTAACTACTGAACAGAATTACCCATCACTGTACAATAATAAATGATCAAGGGATGTTATGATGAGTTCAGCAGTCGTCAGTTCGACGTTAACCTCTAACGTAACTCATTTAAATTTTAGAGAGTGGTCAATACCTACATTTGAATCCTGTAGTAGATCTAATCTTACGTGGGGAGGAATAGGCCAGAGTAGGTGCAAATAAGGTATTTCATTTGTATCAGAAAGAATATTAAAAAAAATCGCACGTAAATACATCCCTGTAAAATTTTTTTCCATGTGTATGCTTCTGCTTGGTTTTATATGTTAAGAATATAAAAACTAAGTCTCTTTTTCATCGCATTCCTGTGTTTTCTAATGTTGGAACAGATACAATTAAGTCTCATTCTGTAGTTAATTGAGTACAAATGTTTTTGAAACATATTTTGTGGAGTTCTTGAACAAATATGAAAGAAAGGCGTCATTTATTACAATCTGATACCAACAGGACCATGGGTATGTTCCAAGCTGGTTTGTGTCAAATCGATGTTGCTAAAGAATTAGGAATAGGACAAAGCGACTACAGAAAACATTAGATAACCGTTATATATTCCCATTTTATGGGCATAAATCCCACAATATGTGATCGACCACATCATCAGAAGCATGCCCAGATATATATTTGAAGTAATCAGAATGAGGGGCCAGAATATGAGGAATTGATTTAGTGTTGTAACTTACCATTTGTATTTTTAATCATCAATCATTTTATCTATAAGGATTTATGAGTCGATTCAAAAAAGTTGCAACATTGTATAAATGAGAGGAAAAAATGGGAAGAAAATAAATATATGCAGAAAGTAACAGGTGTTACTACAATAAGTACGTATTAATTCATGAGTTTGTTTAATTTAATTTTAATAACATCTTTAACATTTGTTTACAAAAAATGTATCATAGTTAAAAAGTATATAAAATACGGGGAATACCATTGAATGTTTATAATTATAAGATTTGTAATATTATGTTGTTACGTAAGAAGTTTTTTCCCTTACACTTTTATTATCTAGGCCCAGTCACACGTAATGGTTGCATTGTTGAGATCATATCTTGCCTACTTATTTGTCAATATCAATTTCGTTTGCTTAATTTTGTATGTATTTATTGGTTAATTTATGTCTAGATAGTTTTTCACAAACTCTACCCCAGAATAAATTATATTATTACTGCTTATTATTATACAGGGTGTTAGAAGTATGAGTGTCATTATTTTAACAGAGGATATATTGGAATAAAAAATAAAAGTAACAAAATATCTCATACAATAATTAACGAGAATTGAAAATAGTTTTGCCGGAATCTTTTTTTTATTTTTGGAAATTAGTTACTCAAAAAATAACAAAAAAAATCGTTAAAACAATGTCGAGAAATACGCTATATATACAATATGAGATTAAATTTAGGTGACAGTAATTTTAGTAGTGTTCACAAATACTGGTGAGAGCAAAATTGATTTATAATCTTTCAATTAACAGGGTGGGGCAATAGTGCGTCCGACTTCGATATCTCGAGTTCTATGATAACTAGAAACTTGATTCAAAAACATAAGTAAACTAGACAAAAAGTCTATAACCAGAAATTGTTTTCGAATATACAGGACGAGCCAAAATTATTCTACAGGGTCAAGCAACATTTTTTTAAATGAAATGCCATGTGTATCGGAATATTTTTTTGAAACCTCTTTGTTGCCTCCTTTCACTCCTGTTTTATTATTGACTTTCTCCCAACCACTTTAATGTAACGATTTTTTTTTATTGAAATAATACCATTTACACGTGTATATTAAAAATATCACTACAATCACAACTATCAATTTTAAGAAAAAATATGTTAGTACCAGTTATGAGACATCTGTGTGATGACACTCATCCATTTTCACTTCTTAAATGTAACGCCCTATATATGTTTGGACTATGTGATGTAGGATTAAAAAACGACTATTTTTTGTACGTACATTCTTATGGCTATTTGTGACCATTTTCAATTTATTGAACAATAACTGCAAAATTTGTTGCACTTTTTATAATATCTTCTCTTGAATTATAAAAAAATATATTTTAAATTTTTATTACTGAACTTTGCAGTTATTGTTCAATAAATCGAAAATGGTTACAAATAGCCATAGAGATGTACAAAAAATGTTAGTTTTTCAATTCTACATCACGTCGTACCAAAATATCCAGGGTGTTCCATTTGAAAAAATTTAAAAAATTCAGTTCAATTAGTTATAAATTTAAAAATTATTTTTGGCCACCCTGTATACTTTTAGGAAGTGAAAATGTCTGAGTGCCATCACACAGATATCTCATAATTGGTACTAACATATTTTTCTTAAAATCGATAATTGTGACTGTAGTGATTTTTTTTATATACACCTGTAAATGGCATAATTTCAATAACAAAAAATCATTACAGTGGTTGGGAGAGAGTCAATAATAACAGAGGGGTTTCAAGAAATGTTCTGACATACATGGCATTCCATTTAAAAAAATGTTAGTTGACCCTGTAGAATCGTCTTGGCTTACCCTGTATATTCGAAAATAATTTCCGGTTATAGACTTTTTTGTCTAATTTATTTATGTTTTTAAATCAAGTTTCTAGATAATATAGACTCGACATATCGAAGTCGGATGCACTATTACCCCACCCTGTATACTACTTACCTCTTTATTGAAAAGTGCTTCGTTAAGTCGCAAAGCTTTTACGAAAATTGTTATATTTTTTTAATAAGAAAATAATACTTTCAGCAACTGCGATCAAATTTGGGATGTTAGTCCGTACTGGCAATAGATGCTTTTTTTGCATTATTTTTGGTCTTCATTACTGACCAAGTGGTCCTGAATTGGATTGGAACCTTTGATGTGAAGGTAACACTGACGTAGTTTTCCACGAAACACCATATACCACGGTGTTTCGTTAGTGTTGAGCAAGTGGTCAAAAGTTGGTCATCCAGTTACAAGACGTGCAAATTTTTTCTACGATTTATTCAATATATTTAAAACTTTTTTGAAATCAGACTTAAAAGACACAGTTACAACAATAATTGTTTCACAATTATATTTTGGTTAACCCGTAGGTAAATAATGTTATCTGCGTTACATTGCTATAGCTTTTCTAATGCTCTCTCTTAAGACGATGATCTTAAATGTCTGCACAAAAGATTTTAACTACAAATAAATCGGAATCACTTTTTTCTTCAGAATGGGCAATTTAGCAGTATGAAATTATTTTCAAAAATATCCAGTGGCATTTTCTTTATTTTTATAAAGGTGGTATGTAACCCCGTATCTACGCCAATGCTTTCTGTTATTATTACTTCCTTACCCCTCAAAGTGAGAAATTGTATTCGTGAAAAAAATTTTGAAAATTTTCATTGCATTTCTGGACGAATCTCGACAAATTGTGACGATACACAAAATTTCAGATAGAGCAAATTTTCTGTCTGTGTGTCTGTCTAGTTCGCGATAGCAGCTACAGTTTTTGAGATAAAGCTTTCAAATTTAGTACTCACATTCTAGAGGTCAAGGAAGAGATTCAGTTCGTTGATGAGCAAACTCGGTCTCAATGTCTAAAAAAGAAATATTAGTGACATTCCACCAACGTGACTTTTTTGAAACGTCAAGATTTGACTTTTTTTGAAACGTCAAAAAATGTGACTTTTTGAAACGTCAAAGTGACTTTTTTGAAATGTCAAAATGTGACTTTTTTTGAAACGTAAAAATGTGACTTTTTTGAAACGTCAAAAATTAATTTTATTATAAACTCCACCACATGTCGAGTATTACTACGGTGAGGAAGTTCTGATCCCCAAGTAATTGGCAGCTGTTTTTTTCACTTGAAATGTAAATGCAGCTTTACTATTTTATAAATATTTGTCCTGCCAATCCGTTGTATCTTTGCATTCAATTTTTGGCGAATAGCTTGAAACTCTGTTAATTTATAAGATGTTTTTTTTTTTGGGGGATTAAAAATGATTCTGAATAAAAACAATTTTACGAAAAGCAAGAATATATATCAGGAATTATATTTTCCGCCGCAATTCGGTTAATCAAGAATGTTAGACATCTATTCTCACGACACTTGTCTGCCAATATGGGTAACGCCAAAAGATTGAAAACAAATAAAAATATATTTAGTTTTGATATTTGCGTTAGACCCTAATTCTGTTTGCTCTCATATTAGAAAGGTGTATGCTGGTCATATGTATTATTTAAATTTAAATACAAACTGATCATGATCAATCACTATAAGTTATCCCACGGCTATACTGATTACCCTATATTACAAATAAATGTCTGTTAATTTATTTGCTTTTAAGTTCATTTATTTTTACTTTTAATATTTAGCCATAATTGCAATTCTGCATGTAACAGATAATTGTAACAGGTAACTTACAGATTAATATTTTTATGTATCGAGTTGTCGACAGCGCAGCGGTCCACTGTAAATATTCTGCTTGGAGAATAGAAGAACATGGAATACAGAAGAGAAGACTGAGGGAGAATATTTTACGATACTAACGTTCCTAAATTATAGACCGGCAGATTTTTGAATTAGAACATTGACTTCACGCAACGACCCCAGTTCATTTATGTGGAAGAACTCTAAGTTGTGAGTTGAATTCGGAAAATCATTATGTTCTCGTACTCACTGAAAAGACTGTTTCAATATATAAATCTGGATTTTCTACTGTATGAATTTATTCC